TTACGGAGATACCCTTTTTTGCAACATCTAGAAGTCGTAAAACGGATTACTTTGTAAAACGAAGGTGGTCCTTTTTGTACAACTTTGCAAACCAACGAAGCGAAGATCCCGAAGTCAAAAAAAAGCTATTCTACTGACGACTCTCTCGACAATATTCGAAAAGGTTAAAAATTAAGAAATCGTTTTGCATTGGTTTTCTTCAACCAAAACCGTCGCCAAATCAAATTATTGTTATGGATTGCATTTGGAGTCTAATAGGAGTTGAAGGAGTAAGTAAAACGCGTAAGAAAAGATATCTGCGTTAGCAAAATGCAGCTCTCCCGATTAATTGAAGCATCCAATTATAGCACTGCCGGCCCTCCAGAGTATTAAAGCAGTCGATGTTACCCTCCGCTTGGCCTGACAAGAAATCATGGACGTGACCGCAATTTATAAGCCTCCCGGCAACCTCTCACCCCGTTTGCTCAAAATCTTTTTAGTCCATGCCTCTTCAGCCAATTTGTGCGGTTATTTTAACTGCAAGCACGCGAATAAAACGACTCCTTTTGAGACCTACGCTGAAGAATGCGGATACGAAACTCTCACAGGACCACAGCTTTGGAGATACATGGCGAGGGAATCGAGCACAATGGTCTAGTCAGATATCACCGCCCTAAAAAGGTACATCAATTTCAACGGCTATTAAGGCAATGGAGGAACTGTCATCGGATCACTTGCTCGTCCTGCTCGAATTGGGCGGTGGAAAAAAAAAAGGCATCAATACCATTAGCTCGGTCTTAAACGAATTGAAGCATATTGCTCAAAATGCTTAAGATACTCTCGCCTTCCAGACACTACTGAAAGTTCTCGCTCTACCAAACAACGCTGTTGCCGACTTTGAGCGTGCGAGAACAGAAGCTCACTTCAGTGCAACCCTAACCATTTTCTTTTATCAAATATTTCTATATCAACAATTATCTACAATTCTACAACTCTAATATTTTAAGTCTATACTAAAAGTTCAATTTCTTTTAGTATATACGAAAGTGTATTTTTTTATCATAAAATTTCTGTCTTCTTTTCTTACCGGTTTGATAGCGTCACTATATCTCGCCAATTTCTACCTGAGAACTACTTAACATCATACTAAATCCCTTATTTAGCTCCATCATAAAACTAAAAATACAAAAGACAGCGAATAATTTTAATTTATTAACAGATTCTAGATGTTAGTTATAATATTTTTATAAATTTATTAAACCATAATGGCCCATTTTAATAATATACGAGTTAAAAAAAAAAGAAGTTTTAAGATGAAAGTGAGCAGTAGTGCCTAAACTTACAATATATACCCATCCTTATCGATAATAAGAAAAAAATAATAAACTTTTAATTATTAAAAAATATATATAATAATGTATCGCTTTTTTTATTATAGTTAAAGCTTTATTCAGAGAAGCAGCGGATTCTTAACAGGAGTTCGGTCTTAAAACGTAAAAATAAGTGGTTCCTAAATGATGCCGGCTTTCCAATTCTATAGACATGCCGCTGTCTTTAACTAACTTTTCAATATCTTTATTGTGCCAGCAGCCTTCAAGCAAAAATATAGATAGATATATTTAAAAGTATAAGCAAAAATATAGTTATGAGTATTATTCAAAAATATAATTAAAAAATATAAGCAAAACTAAGAGCATGTCTATTAAAAAATATATAAAATAAGTAATATTTAAAAAATATAAAAGTATATAGTTCAAAATATATAAAATCAATAATATTAAGAAAATGTAAACAAAGGTAAAAATAGATTCAAAAATAAATAAGATCGAAAAATATAAGCAGAAATATAAAAAAATTTAGCATTCAAAATATATAAAATAAATAATATTGAAAGTATATAAGAAAACTAATAATATATAAATAATATAAAATAAAAATTTTCTAATAGTTAAACAAATACTAATAAATAAAAACCCCATCGCTTCGCATGGTAAGGAGCGCGCCTGTTTAGAACATAATTAAGCCAGGTGTACTTGGATTTTCCGTGCTCAAGTAATATAATTTTGCCGTTTTTCTTGCATATTCTCTCAATTTCTGTTAAAATTAAAAAAAAAATCTGCTTAACTATATTATCAATACGAAATTAGAAGACTATATCTAAAAGCAGATTTTAATTTTTTACTATAATAATGACAAAATGACGAAATTAATTTTGAAATTACCTTTTAATACTGACTCGGGCCTATCCGTGCTGCACAAACCAAATGTTTGAACTACAGTATCATAAGTATTTTCGTGAATTTCCTTCATATCTTCGCAGTTTATTTTAATAAATTCAGGTTCAACATGGTATTCTTCTACAATAAACGAGGTTCCAAATTGTAATAAAAAATTGTAGTATATATATATATACAAAAGTAATAACAGCAACTCAGCCTACATAATACCCGGTTTAGATTCATTGAGCTCTTTAATTTTCCCAGCAGCAATTAGTAGCATTGCTTCGCTATTTAGTTAATAATAAATTACTAAATAATTTAAAAAGTCAATAACTCTCCAAGATAGCATGATAGTATTAATTTATTTAGCATTGATTTGACCTTGAGTCCATAAAAGTAACCCGGCTTATAAGTTGAGCTCGAGCTACATTACTTCCGCTACTTTCCTGATAACTTTTTCTCCTGTAAAATTTAAATTGTTCGTCCTGATAATATTCAAAGTTTCTAGCAGTTCCTGAAGCAACCTTTTAACTTCAAAATTACTTAAACAGTAGGAAGAAGTTAAACTTCATTCGCCAGTACTTCTGCTACCTTCCCTTCAACAAGCTTAGCTATCTTTTGACGATGCCGTTTAATCCCTCCCCAGAATTCTTCCCAGTCCATTAATTTATCATAACTTCCAGCTAAAAACTCCATAATATAAAGTATAATTAAAATTCAAAGATGATTATTAAAAAAATATGTGTAAACCTCAAATATGTCTTTAGAGTTGATAAAATTAATTTCATCTTTATTTAGTTCTGGTCCTTTATATGTAATTTATATATAAGATATTATTGAGAAAAATCTTCCAAAGAAATTATAACCTAATATACTCGCTGTAGCGTAGGCACCGAAAAGATAGACACACACGCCCCCAATCAGGTGTTTTGCAGCTAACTTTTTTCTAAAAAGCTTTCGGATTGAAGAAGACATTCATATGATGTCCAAAATTCAACGGTAACTTTAATTAACAATAAAAAAAAGTTTATAGTGTCACCACTAAAATTTTGTTTGTAAGTATTTAGTAGGGTTCTTCACGATCCACGGGACTGGGGGTAAGCAAAAGGGGTTGAAAAAAAAGGGACACATTGTTAAAGATGTTCTCCTTACACACTTCTAAGATAAATGAAGACTTAAATTTTATCTCTACTCAATGCAACGAGTTATATAATACCTTTTCGAAAACATTTTTTTACACTTTTCTTTAATGACTTTTCGTCTAGATTAATGGATTGTGCTTGCTTCTTTTGACAGAGCGTAGTAATTAAAGGAAAAATTTTCGATACAGGTATTTGCTGCTAAAGCCTATTCTAATAATGTAATCCACCTCTTTCAAAATCACTACTTTTTTAGAAACTGAATTACTTTTCAAATAAGGGATCCTGGGTTTCTAGTAATTAAATGTACGACTACAGTGAAACATTGAATAAACTAAAGCAATGTCTTTTTTGACACACAGATGAAAATTTAAATATTTAAACACGGAAAAATCCCGAGCTCTGAGCCAAAAAGACAAACAAGTTTCATTGTTTTATATTAGATATAAATATTTTAGGAGCGATCCAACTTAGAAGATTCACCGGGCTCATAATGGAATAACCGGATCATGTGGCATACCATAGAAAAACTGGACTTTCTAATAAATGTGTTAAGACCTGTAAATTATGTTAATATCAACATATTATACTCTAAAAAATTTTAAATTTAACCCGAAAAGTAACAAAAATTTGTCAAAGTACCTAATATTAATTCCTTTTTATAGTAGCTTATTTATTTTCATTGTTCATGTGATAATGAATGGATGTGCAACATAACTTAAGGAGGTCGCTTAAGCAAAACTAAAAAAAAACTTTGCTTTGCCCTTTTTAACGCAAAAAGAAATTTTTCTAAAATAAGGTGGTCGTTAGTAATTTCTTTACTCTCTGTAAAAAAATTCGTAAAAAAAAAATTTAAACATTGTTTGGACACAATGTAGGTGATTTAAGTAATCAGTTTATTTTATTGGGTTGTCACGTTTGCATTCTTTAATACCAACGTTAGCATTGGCAGCTTTAACAAATGAGCTGCATGATCTAAACAGTAAAAAGAAAACCTACTATTAATTAAGCATTAACTATAATAACGTATATAGAAAGCACATTAAAAAAAATAAACCTTATCCTATTTTGTGTAATTTGCTTGTATAAAAAATTTAAATAATGTATACTTAACCAAAATAAAAAATGCTATTTTTAACTTCCGTGAAAGAGTTTCCTAAATGTCCAAGGGGCTGTGAAATAATAATCAATAAAAAACGCTAAGTTTTGCTATATCGTGCGATATTTCTTAAAATTGCTAATACTTGCCACTATTCCGAGTATTTAATAAATAAACATTTACCATTGGAGCAGTAAATTTAAAGGAGACATTTAAAAGGTTACCTTATGTGTTAAAGTGTTATATCACTTTTACTTTCCATTTTAGCTCTCTTAGCTTAGCAATCAGATAACTATCAGTTAATACTATCTTTATTGGTAAAAATAATCAATATGTTATAACATTTTAACAGCACAGGGCTATAAAGACAAATTTATTTATATAAGTATCCTTCAAAAATGCCACATGTTCGAGTAGCTTTATGTACGAAACACAAACAAGCTACATCACCTAGATAATTTACAGATATACAATATATTAATACTATAGTATGACCACGCAACTCGGCGCATGCGCAAGTAGAGGAGACCTTAAGGCTGTTGAACATTTAATAAATAAGGGGGTTATACTAAACTGTTTGGTAAATTAGATCTTAGTAAATAATTATTAATTCCATAAAAAATAAATTAAAGGGTTGTTGGTCGCCATTATCATGGGCCTGCCGGTATGGTCACCTTGAAGTGGTGAAATTATTACTAGAGTCTGGAGCAAAAATGGAACCTGACGGGGTAAGTGTAGGGTAAAGCAGTTAATTTTTTAGTCAGGTATTTATAAACTCCGTTGAAATGACTAATACAGTATCCATTGTTGTTCATAGTTCGGCTAAATAAAAACAAAAGGAAAGAAGCTTGTATTATCTACTATCTTATAGTTAGTTGTTAAGCATTAATTTGTCTAACAATAATTAATAGTAGTATTACAAGTTAAATTTAAAATTTCAAAATATTTTAATACGGTGATACTCTTCATTTAGCCGCGTTGTTGCTCAAATAATCTGTTTAAAAACAATTAACAGTAGTTTCAAGATTTAGGAGGGTTATAATGTAAACGTTTAATATTTTAGATAGGCGATAGTCCTCTTCATTTGGCCGCGGGGAATGGGCATACAGAAGTAGTTAAGTTTTTAATCCACTCAGGCGCTAAAGTAACCTGGTTGAATAGTGTGAGCTCTTTATTTTGTGTTTTCTATAATTACTTTTTAAATTATGTATGTTCAGCTATTAGTTATATACATAAACCAATACTAATATACTAATACTAGAGAAAATACTCTCCGTTACACGAGGCTTCTTGGGGAGGGTATGAAACCACCATAAAAACCTTAATTTTATATGGAGCTGATATCCATTTGAGAGGAGAGGTGAGTAAAAGGGGAGCATATTAGCTATGCCACTTAAAACTATTTTTGATGGGTAAATTAGAATGGCTGCTCTGCTTTAGACTTGGCTGTACAGGAGGAACATACTCAAGCAATAGCTGTTCTTCTAGCTGCAGGGGCTGAATGTGATCAATTTCAGGTTCTTTTATATAGAGATATAAACCTACCTTATTTCATTTTTTACTTACACTTACTCTTTGATATTCTCTTCAAGCTTCTACACATATTGAAAAAAAGGTGTAATGACCAAGACCTTTCTTGCCTTTTTAAAGTAAGATTATCAAAATACCCAAATTTGCTTTATATCGTTAAAGTTTTAAGGGTTTACCTCTAAGATGTTATTTTTAGCTTATTTTCTTGCTTAGAGACGATTGTACAGACTTAAAACTTTATGCACCCAAGCTATCCTTAAACATTTCAATGCCTTTGAACTAAAAGAGATCACAGGTATAAGTTTTTTTGCAATACTGTAAATTATTACCCTTTTAACTTATTTAAGGTAATGTCATTGACATAGCAAGCTGTTTATGGGACAGTGGTACTTTGTAACTTTTCGCCACATACCATCTATGACATTAACGACATCCTTAAAAATAATAAAATTTATTAAACTTGCATTCTTGTTAAAACGGCCAACAAGATTTTCTTTTCCAGGCAGAAATTAGAATTTGGAGTAAAAAGTTGGTTATTAGGTGGCAAATAAGAAAAAAGAACCTCATGGGTAATATGTTGTAAGTGACTGCGAGTTTTGAAAATATTGAAAAGAATGCATGCAAACGCATTTATTATAAGCCAAAAGTATAAACAGTTTTCCTATCTCTAGGAGGTTTCGATGTAGGACAGACACTTGGTAACTTCAACTTTTTCTAAATGTTATAATTCTTTTCTACTGTAAAGTTACTAGAGCGTGATACAGTTCTAAAGGAGTACAGATTATACTTTGCTTTGCTCTTCTTAGCTTATTCGTAACCGGAGCGCATACTCTGTCTGCATTTTTTTTTATTATAAGCTAATATTGTATACAGCAAAATTGCGAACGGCTCAATAAAGCAATCTTAGCTTATTTGATCACTGTCCTTATTTAGTTTGCTTTAGTGAGCTATAGCTAATACTTTATGAAAAGGGGCGACTACTAGGAAGGAGAGAGGTGTTAAAATCTGTGTATGTTGAAATTAAATACTATATAACATGCCCAAAAAGTTTTTTATACTTTCTGTTTTATTCATAACAATACAAATCGCATGAAGGTTTTTTTGCAAAAAGGGGTTCGGACTATTCATCTACCAAATTGCAAGGTAAAATAGACGCTTAGTATAACGACAAGAGGTGATAAGAATAAGGGTTTAACAGAAGATAGCGACATCAAAAAGGAACTACCACTCTTACGGTGGGAAGCAGGTAATGATGGACAATAGTAAGATACGACTTTAGTCAAGTAAACAAAACAAGGACAACTTTACTAACTGTGCTAGTGCCTACCGAGGTGGCAACACCGGGGATTTACATTTTAAGCAGCGACGTAGACTTTTCCTCCCAATACCCAAAATAAATACTCTCCAACCAGAACCATTGAAGGGGGAGTCTTAAGCCAGGATCCGAGGTAATTTTGTTATGTTTCTAATAGTTGATGTATTAGAAAAAAAAAAGCTCCAAAAGGACCTTCCGTAACCAATTTTAAATTTAAAATGTTCGGTTTTTAAGCGCTTTAACTCTTATGCTTTCCCATTAACCCTTTTTTTCAGACAGAAAAAGAAAACTTTTTTTTTTATCCCCTTGTCCTCCCTTTTTAACTCGGGGGAAAAAACAATTTTTCTTAGAAAAGTTAGTTTAATACTATCTTTTCTTATTTTGTAAAACATTGCCTGAATAATGCAGAATAAAAATTGGTCCTTAATCTTATTTTTATTGGTTAAAAATAATGAAATTATAGGTAATAGGGAACATTAGGACGTAAAAATTTAGTTGTTAATGTTAAAGTTAATGACTTTTCCAAAATTTTGTTTCTGCGAAAGCATATGCCAGATATGTTACTTTGAAATTGTTCGATAATAACTACCATAGAGAAATAAAATTGCTACCATACAACTTTCATAGTGATGGTTAATCTTGTGTCTTGAGTTGGGCGCATTGCTAATGTTTTCTTTAGAAGTTCAATAGAAATTTTATCCATCCCGTTTTGTTTCTTCCCCATGTGCACGTGTTTTTCTTATGTTGATTTTGAGGCCGTTCAGTTATTTTAATAAGCAAAAGTAGTAAACGAAAGT